ATGTATGGTGACGGATGAGCGTGGTCCTCGTTTGGTGGTGTCAATGTGTGTAATACGCGTGACGACGCCACAAAAAATGCATTGAATTAGCTTTGCACTGCCCTTGCCTCCCTTGCACTGCTGTTGTTTTCTGCCTCCTTGCAATGCTGCTACCCTTGCCCACTGTCTGCTCTCGTCCCTTGCCTTGTCTGCCTGCACTGTCTTGTCTGGGTCAGGTTCTTATGGTTACCCTTCCTATAAATATGGTCCCTAATGTTCTTTCCGGACGGGAAAACAAAGGAAGGTCTCACGCTGTCCTTGAGCTTCGCCATGGCGTGCCCCACCTAACTCAGCTCTGGTGTGAGCCTTTGCGAAGATGTTCGCCTTTTCGGTCGAGAGCCCAAGCTGGCAAGGTTGAAACAAGTGCCCTCACGCTATTCACTGGAAAGACTAATTTGCTGTGCAGTCGAAAGATGACACCGTACAGTGGCGACCCCAGTGGAAGCCAATCGAGAGGACGTGGCCTGTACTGACAACGAACCTGGTCGCCTGTATAGGGAAGTACTACTCCTGTAGGAGCCCCGACAAAAGACTCGTGTCGGATCGGCAGAGCACAAGCTTCAGTCCTACCTTGACAAACGAGGGGAGTCAGCGGATGATTCCCCATACAGCAAATGGATCGACACTTAGACTTTTACGGCCTCCCACAGGGGACATGCCAAAGCTGCTGAATTCTGTCTGGCTGTAAGTGGACACCTGCCTGAAATTGTCCCTCAGGGCAGCCACCCACGAACGAAAGGGATCACATGAACATGTGATGTGACAAGCGAATCCGGATAGACCTGCGGCTCTGGAACTATGCTCATCTGGCGCAGCTGTCTATTGGGGCTTATCGCTGGTCTATGCAAACGAGGTGGCAGGATGACCACCCCAGCATGGGGCAGGACAACATGGCTACATGGCTCGCTGTACGGCCTACCGCGGGTGTTTTTTTGGGAACATGCCACCGAAAGTACTTTACGGCCTCCCAGGGATGGGACATGCCATACTTTTACGGCCTCCCAGGAATGGGACATGCCTTACAAGTTATTCCATGGGGACGGAAAGCAAAGACTGCAGGGCAAACACAGAGCTTGTGATGACAGTGAGGCCTGACAAAACCTTGCACATGACTGGAATGAAGAAAGGCAAGGAAGGAAGCTGACGGGCCTGGTGAAATGGAGGCCTCTACTATGCAGAGACGTTCCTGACTGCATACACGACGCCCCCTCCCTCTGGTCCTTCCAGGGCTGCTGGCTGGCATATCGGTGTGAACACAGGACCATGCCTAGACAAGCCTGAGTGGGAAGTGAGCGGGATGAGTGTATAGACGAATGAGTAGAATCTGAAGTAGCTGATAGGATGCCCCTCCGTGCAAAGGGTGTTGTCTTCTGGGAAGTGGTACGGGCTATTTAGGACTGGCCGTTACGGTTTGTCTCGCGACATGGAGAACTTGCACGTGATGAGCATTGTGTAGTAAGTCCTGCGCCTGACAACGTACAGAAGAAAGCGCATGAACGACCAACTAGTGCTGCGCAACTTGTAAATTCGTAATTCATTGTTTGATGCGAGAATATTGATGCCCTGCCGAGATGGCTGGCTTTGAGAATTCAGGAATTTCTATGTAGCCTTAGATTTGAGACCTGGGAATGACATATTCCTTTGAACTGTTAATTGGAAAGAGTGCATGGGGTGACGCGAGGCTTCCTTCTGAGCTGTCTTGGTTGTGTCTTTTGTTTGTTTG